CCGCAGAGCGATGCACGCCGGAGCCCGGGCGGGAGCGGTCGGCGGCCGGAGAGGCCTTCCCCGGCGGGGCGAACCGCGCCGGGCAGCACGCAGGTAGGCGACGGGACGGGACGGGACGGGCGGGCTGCGAGGGCGCGGGGAGCCGCCGGCCCCCTGCAGCGCTGCTGTCCTCGCCCGCAGACAGCCCCTGGTCGGTGGAGGACATCCTGACAGAAGATGACGAGCAGGACCGCGTCCCGCTGCAGAAACTCAAGCTTTTAGGTAATCTTGAGAAGTCAGAAGTCAGCCGGGGGGCAGGTGGCAGCGGGCCTGCGGCAAAGCAAGCAGAGATACTCGCGATTCCCGTGAATTCCTCGTGGAGCACTGCAGTTTATCCCAGTCGTGCACTTCACTGCAAGGCCTTAAAGAGTTAAACGTCAGATATCTGGCCTTTCACCATGTCTCTTTGAAAGTTTATTTGCAAAATAAGGCTGGTTTTAACGGCATTTGTAACTGTTCAAGATCAGTACTGTTTATCTTTTTTTTTTTTTAAAGGGGAATCGGAAGAACTGAGAGGCTTGCTTCTGAATCCACATCTCAGGCAGCTGCTGCTGACAGTCGATCAAGCAGAAGATAAAAGCTCCCTCATGAAAAAGTACATGCGGGAGCCGTTATTTGTTGAGTTTGCAGACTGCTGTTTGAGAATTGTTGAACCTCCAGAGAAGGAGAACATTCTTCCTGAGTGAGCTACTTGGGGAAGATTTTTCTTTCCTTGAGATTTGTTTCCCTCTGACAGAAGAGATTTGACGGCACCCGGTGCTACTGTGGTGCACCATTCTGTGTGTTTCCTCAGGGTCTGGGCACACTTTGCTCATGGATGTCAGTGCTCTAATTTTCAATTTAGAGTTGATAAGCAGTGACATAGACGTGTTGGAATGATTTCTAGGTACTAGGAATTAAACGTGATGTTCTGTGGACTTGCTTTCTGTTGGTACAGAAATACTGTCAACCATGGGAAACGTTGCTTCCCAATAACAATTATATTAAATATATTTGCATTTATTTTAATCCACAAACTAATCTGAAATGTTTTTGTTAACTAAACCTTGTTGCGGATGGTCAGACGCCTTTACAGGGTATTTAAGGGTTTATTTAAAAGTGGCATACACAGTGGAGCTGAACATTTTCAAGACTCACGTGAGCAACAAAGAGCGCTTCTGCTGAGAACCCTGGCCCCTTGGCAGAGGTAATGCTGCTGACTGGGTAGTGCCAGAAACACATGGCAGTTGTGAGAGTACATATATTTTGGTCCTATAGATAAAAAGCAAGAGTCCAGTCTCACTTTTCCCTGAGACATTTGCCGTTAGTGTTGCAGTTGGCTGCTGCTCGCTTCCTCAGTCAGTCAGAAGCGTTACGGTGTTACTGAACGCGCGCGGTCAGTCAGAATAGTTGTAGCTGTACCTCCGAATGAGCACCCAGGGCCCATCAGAGATGCCTGCCTTATTTGCTGTCTCGTTACCAGCCTCTTGCTTCTCCCAGGTAGTGCCAGAAGTGTTCAGTTCAAGTATATATCGCTTAAAGCACTTGATCTGTTTTAATTATGTTGAGTGTTCTCATAGTACTGATATTGCCGCCCCGTGCGTTCTGAATTTGAATTATAGTATATTATACGTACAATGCATCAATATAGAAAGCTCTGAGGTAGCAGCAGATATGGACGTTGAGTAATTTGAAAGCAGCAGCTTGCAGACAGTCCTTCCCTGAAGGAAAACGTACAGTATACGCAGATGGCCAGGACCTATGTTGGAAGGAGTTTTTTTCTGTCCAATAAAATCTGGTTAAATCCAGTGACGGAATAGGCGTCCGTATGGGGGCTGACGTTTGCGTAATGCAGGGGAGACTTCTTACAGTGAAACTTGATAGAGCCCTACAAGAAAAAGAGGTGGAGAGGTCAGTTGATGTTTTTGCCAGATTTTGAGCTAATTTTGCTATTGAAACTAAGTAGTGCTTTAGTACACAAGCAACTAGCGAATATGAATAAGGATGGAGGAAGACCCCCAAAGGAGTCCTAGTACAAATGGATTTAAGAGAAATGATTACTACAAAGAGTACTAATACTGTGATTTGAACTGAAATTAGCTTAATCTCTGAAGATTTGAGTATTTAGTCAGTACTGAACTTGGTACTGCTTCTTCCTACTTGCAGTAACTGTGACCAGGCACAGGCTGCGTTCTTGCACACACAATTCTATGCAACCTCAAAAATGTATTAGAAAAAAAGCCCAAGCACAGGCGCAAGGTGATTTGTAACCGGAGTGCAATTTGTGAGGGAAGCCAGTGTGGGTTGTGGCTTGTTTGTAGTAAATGGTATCTAAGACTGTTGTGCATGTGGGTAGGAGATGAAGTACTTGAGGGTTGCTTCCTGCGTTCTGCCCTGAAAATCCTCTGTGCGAGTCAGTCTGCGCACTTGTCTGCGCAGTGAAGTTAATACAGAATTACTGGGATGTTATTAATACGCCCTGTGGCTTTTCCCCAGGTGGATGCTTTTGCACCTGTTCATTTGTGCAACTTGAATCCCCTAAGCAGAAAAAATAGATAGTACGTAACAGCAGAGCCTGCGTTCGAATCCTCTGCTCTCCGTTTCTGGAGCAGAGCTTTGATCAGTTTGTTCCTACGACAGAGATTAACAGAGAGTTTTCATGCTTAGTTGAAAGTCTCGGCTCAGCCCTGTGTCTAGCTTGACCTATTGATGTCGGAGTCATCCTTGCATACCTAAGCCGGTGGAAAAAGGAAGACTGTAGCTTGAGAGCGGACTTCAGAGTTGCTCTACTCGATAGCAGAGTTCAGGTTCCTGAACTCAGGGCAGCTTAATTCTGCTGCTGACTCGAGCGCGCGAGGTTTGTTACCTGTGGGAGAGCTCTAATGGAAGTGATGCCACAGCCAACGAAACAGCTTTCCACCTTGTAGCCGTCACTCTCCTGCCGTACTTTGAGGCATGCCAGCAGGGACAGGTCTCTCCGAAGTCCCGTTACAGTAACAGGTGCAGCAGCCAGGACAAGGCCAAGCGGCCAGAACTGAATTATTGCGTGCAGAGGCCAAGTTGTTTCCAAAGAGCAAGGTGGTTTGGCCAAGATCCCCGTAGCTCCAGGAACTGACAAGAATGCCTTTTCTTCACCCTCATCCAATTCTGCTGCTGCTAACGCAGCCATTTTTGCCTGATGAAGAGATGCAGAACAATATTAAACAAGATTCTCAAACATCTTGAGCAAAATTTAAAACTGCAAAACTAAGTCTAAAGAAGAGGGCATCTTAAAGGACAGGATGCCCTTTGGGACATTGTCCCATTTTATGAAGGTAAGGAATGAGTTCATTCCGCAGTCTCTACGCTGCCACTCTAGCAGCAGCTGTACAAGACTGGCATCCATCTTCTGCTCTTCAGCTTGAGAAGAGTTTTCTGGGGAATTGACAGTGTTGGTTTTGTACAGTTACTTGACAGAGGTAGATTCTTTCTCAAACGCTAAAAAGCTTGCGTCACTCCATTTCAGTGCTTTCCTGTACCAAGGTACTTACTTTCCATTTCCTCCAGCCATGCTTAATAACATTAGCAGCCCTGCGCATCCTTTGGAAGCGATTCTTGGCTAACCAGGAACGAACAGCTGAAGATTTAATTAAAAGAAATCTGAGTACAAAGAATCTCAGAAGCTCTTGCACACAACGTAAGAGAGATGGCACTTAAGCTTTCTCCGTGTTCAATTAACCACTCCTGCCACTTTAAACATCCAGTGTAACTGGTACGTTACATTCAGCCACGCCCTTGTCAGATTACCTGCTTGGATGACAGTTGCAGACCATCTCTCCTTCGCTAGCTTCTTCTGTTTAAATCTTCTCCAGCAACACTGAATGCAAAATGCTTTCTCATTTAACACCTCTGTTCTTCTAGCTTCAAGTTGCTCCAGCTGCATTGGGGGTATGAGCCTGCAGTTAATACTCGGGGACGGAGTTGTGTTCGCCACCCTTCCCTCTTCTACAGTCTCCTGGTGGTTGTCAGAAAACCACATGCATATTTCAGTGTCCTAAGACTGCTGGATTAGGTTTTAGAAGTGAGAGCACTTCATTAGTGCTTATTAGATAAGACGTAAAAGGAAAATTTAAGTATCTGAGGGGGAAAAGAGTGTTGTAGGGGGAAAAAGTGGACACTCCCAAAGTCACGGTATCAGCTGGCTTAAAACCACGTCCACTGAAGGGGGTTCTTTTATGGCTGCATCGCCCAGCGTGCAAGCTTTGCAGGAGTGCCTTTGTCTCCTTCATCTCTTTGACAAAGCAGCTGCTTAGGCCTGTCGGAGTAGCCAAGGCTGTCAGCTGAAGCTAAGGAAAGCTGTGATCTTTGCTGGAACCGGGAGGGTACTGACAACCCCAGACACAACCTTGCCTTTTAGCAACAAGGACGCCACTAAACAAAGTGCTTCTGATAGTTGGATTCTGATGGATGTTTGATTTAGTTTAATAATTTGAAAGAAAATGCCAAATTCTGGTCACACTGGCATTAGCAGGGGTATCGCCTAAACCATGATGATCATCTGTGCCAGAATCCCTGTTGGGCAAGTACGCTCCAGAACGGTTAGCCAAGGAAATAGCACTCTTACCACACAATCAGCCATAAACACTTTGGTTTTGCCGCAGTACACTGACGTGTTTCCTGCTCCGTTCCCTGTTTGCTCAGCAGTAATTTGTCCTGTAACAACATTCTGAAGGATCTCAAAAACAACAGAACGTGATGCTTTGTCATCATCCACCACTGGAGTCTCGCCTGCAAATGAAGCATTGAAGAGAAGGTATCGCAAAACTTGGAACTCAGGACCAAGTAATTGTCTTTACAGTGGGGCTTCTTGGCGGTTTAGGGGGGATACACCTACGGCAAGAGGGGAGGAGGCGATGGCTGAGACATCGCTAGATCTAGCTGTGTTTCAGGGAACAATGTAACAGCACAGATTTCGCCATGTGCTAGCAACTAGAAAACCAGCGCGGTGTGTTTCAACCAGGGTGTAGTTTGGGTGCTGTCCTACCACCTCCATTACAACCGATCCGTAGGTAACAGATGTCATTTTGGGTAGATCTAGGCAATGCAGCAGACACAGGGAGGGCTCAGCTGTTCTCACGTTTAAAGCATCCTACATGCAAACATTAGAAAGTAACGGCAATGCAATTAAGAATAGATTTGAGCAGCTCAGTCCTAAGAAAATCTGCTGAAATACCCCCAGCTCAAAGCTGTTGGGAACAAAGAACAAAAAGCAAGGAATTAGACTCATAGCCTTAAGGTACTGAAAGATGCAGGAACAGAAAACAAATGCTACACAATTCTACAGCTTTCACAGGGCATCAGAAGCAGCTACAGGGACAGGTACTAAGCAGGAGTTTATTGCAGCAATAAGAGATTATTAAAACCATTTCTGGGACATAGTACACAATTTTTTACATTAGGAGACAAACAGGTTAGCCAGATGAATCTATTTGGAAATAGAGGTAGACTTCATTCAGACCTGTCCTTGAAAGAGATTGTGGTGTTCAAGGCAATGCTGCATGAGTTTCTGCATGCCCAATGCTGGAACTTGATGGCCTTTGTATCTTTCCATCCTGGATACTGTTTGCTTTTCTGCTATAAATATTTCTAAGGAGATGAGAGCATTTTAAGGTACTGAAAATAAATATAAGCAATTCTTGCTTACAGGAAGGCATCTGGTGACTATGAT